CCTCTGGCGTGCCAAGCCAGTTCTCAACCATCGCGCCACTCGGCCGGCCCCATAGGTTCTGTTTTATACATATAAATATACACGTATTCCAGGCTGAGGAGTCCAAAATTAGTTGGAAACACCATTCTATTTCCTATCTTCTTTTATAACACAATAGCATCAAAAATTCATAATCATTCCTTTTAGTTTTTAGTTCAGCCCTAGGGAGACTAAAGTTCAAAGTAGGTTACGAAAACACCCAAGCAAGCAGCAAGTGGCACTGCCCTGCCACCTAATTCTTTGCCTGCCCTCCTCTCAATTCTTCTCCCCTTAACCCTTCCCCAATAAACCCACTTTTTTGGGGCGGAAAATTCTTCAGGAAAAAAATATTAGAAATTGCTAATGAAGCACCTACTACAAACCAGGCAGTGGCTCAGAGGTCTTTATCTGGCTCCTCCAATCCCAGCGGTGTGACTGCTGAACAAGAAACTTAACCTCTGGCTTCAGTTTCCCTATCTGAAAACTGGGTAATTAAGTAACTATCTCAGAGCGTTGTGTTGAAGATTTACTGTATTAAGTACCTGGAATACAGTAACCCCCAAATGTCGGCTACTCCTGTTTTTATTACTATTATTCATTTAAATTATTCACGGTGTTATTTTGAATTTTGCAATCTGCCATATTATCTATGTGTCTAGTTCTTTGATCCTTCTGCCTGCCTTAAGCCCCTGGGTTCTCTTCGGTAACTGGGAGTTTAGCACCATCCATGGGGACAGAGATGGTGATAAAAGCAAAAAGCCAACAGGCTTCCATCCTTGGCAAAGAGAAACAACCATTGAGTAACCTCTGTATCGAATCAACCACCAGAATGAGAGCCCCTGTGGGCTAGTGACAAGATCAGATCCTGCATCTATAAAAAGGGAATAATAACAGGACTTCTGATAATCCAATGAGATTACAGGCGTAAAAACTTTGTCAAATTAATTAAAACAAAATACAGATGCTACCACTGCTTTAGTTATGTATTCAGCAAACCCTGACTGAGCAGCCCGAACTTGCCAGAAGGAAAAAAGGCTGATGTCCATGACCTTTTCCTTCCATACCTATTTCTGCCAATATTTAGGAGGCTTAACTTGCAAATTCCCCACCCCCATAAAGCAAGTAACAGAATATAAAACCAGGAGACTACTGGCTTGTAATGGGCTGGTTGGGTGGCGCAGTTGGTTAGAGCGTGAGCTCTGAGCAACAGGTCGCCGGTTCGATAACCACATGGGCCAGTGAGCTGCGTCCGAGTTGAGCTGCCGACAGGTGGCCAGATGGCTCAGCTGGTGAGAACCTGCACTCTTAACAACAAGGTTGCTGGTTCGACTCCTGCATGGAATGGTGGGCTGCGCCCCCCCCCCCCTCCGCAACTAGATTGAAAGTGGTGACTGGACTTGGAGCTGAGCTTGCGCCCTCCACAACTAAGATTGAAGGACAACAACTTGATTTAGAGCTGATGGGTCCTGGAAAAACACAATGTTCCCCTTCCCCAATTCCCCAACACTGTTCCCCTCCCCAATTCCCCAATAAAATCTTAAAACTAAAAGAGTTGGCTGGTAAAAAGTCTGCTTCTGCAAGGCCGGAGGCACCACACTTCCTGACTTCAAACTATACCGCAGAGCTACAGTAATCAAAACAGTATGGTATTGGTAGAAAAACAGACACACAAACCCAATAGAACAGAACTGAGAGCCCAGAAATAAATCCACACATATATGGGTAACTAATTCTCAACAAAGGCGCCAAAAATATACAATGGAGAAAGGAAAGCCTCTTTAACAAATGATGTTGGGAAAACTGGAAAATGACATGTAAAAGAATGAAACTCAACTGCTGACACCATACACAAAAATTAACTCAAAATGGATGAAAGACTTGAATATAAGACCTGAACCAATAAAATAGAAGAAAACAAAGGCACTAAACTTATGGACCTTTGTCTCAGAGAAGTCTTTGTGAACTTGATCTCAAAGGCAAGAGAAGTAAAAGCAAAAATAAAGGAGATTACATCAAACTAAAAAGCTTCTGCACAGCAAGAGACCATCAACCAAATGAGATATTTGCAACTGATACCTTTGATAAGGGGCCAATATCCAAACTACATAAAGAACTCATACAACTCCACAAGGAAAAAACAAATAATTCAATTAAAAAATGGACAGAGGGGCCGGCCGAGTGGCGCGATGGTTAAGAACTCGCTTGGGATGCCAGAAGGCCCCGGTTCGGATCCCACATATGAGGGCTAGTGACACTGCCCTCTACAGCTAAGATGCTGAACAACAGCTCAACCTGGAGCTGGGCTGCTGTGAGTCGCCAGCAACGGCGTAGGCTGCAGTCCCTGTGGCAATGGGTTGCCATGGGCTACCGTGTGTAGCCAGCAGCCAGCGTGAGTGGTCAGCAGCCACAGTGAGTGGCCAGCAGCCACAGTGAGCGGCCGTCCAGAAGCCGGCGACTGATCTGCCTCACCCGGGAAGAGCGCAATGATGGTGCCAACTTGGGCCAGTGAAGCAACATCCTCCACAACTAGACTGAAGAACAAAACGACAGCAACTTGTCTGTTCCCCTCTCCCCAATTCCCCAATAAAATCTTAAAAAAAAAAAAAAAATGGACAGAGGACCTGAATAGACACTTTTCCAAGGACAACATACAGATGGCCTACAGATGTATGAAAAGATGGTCAACATCACTAGTTATAAGGAAAATGCAAATCTAAACCTCCATGAGATACCAGCTCATACCTGTTAGAATGGGTAGTATCAATAAGACAAGAAATAAGTGTTGGTAGGATGTGGAGAAGAGGGAATCCTTGCATTCTGCTGGTGGGGATGTAAATTAGTGCAGCCACTATGGAAAACAGTATGGAGGTTCCTCAAAAAATTAAGAACAGAGCTAACATAGGACCCAGCAATCCCTCTTCTGTGTATCTACCTGAAAAATTTGAAAACACTGATTTGTAAAGATACATGTACACCTATGTTCATTGCAGCATTATTCATGGTGGCCAATACATGGAAACAACCCAAGTGCCCTTCTATAGATGATTGGATAAAGATGTGGTATATGTATGTATATACAATGGAAAACTACTCGGCCATAAGAAAAGATGAAATAGTGCCATTTGAGACCACATAGATCTTGAGAGTATCATGCTAAGCACAGTAAGTCAGACAGAAAAGCAAAAGAGCTGTATGATTTCACTCATATGTGAGATAAAACAAGAAAGCAACAAGTGAACAAACAAAACAAACTCATACATACAGACAACAGAGTGGTGGTTGCCAGAGAGGCAGGCAGGGTGAGGACAAAGGGTAAAGGGGGTCAAATACATGGCGACGAAAGACTAGACTTTGGGTGGTAAGTACGCAATGGAATATACAGCGTTTGTAATATAAAGTTGTGCACCTGAAATGTTTATGTTATTAACCAATGTTACCCCCAATAAATTTAATTTTAAAAAAGTCAAACTCTACTGACAGCTTTCTTGTCTAGAGCAAATCTATGTCTGTAATATTAATAACAATTTGAGGGAATATAGGAATAACACAGGAAAAATAAGTAGTTTGTAGTTTGGCAGGAAAAGCCCCAACAAAGCCATGTCTGGGACAATTGCTCTGGGGGGCAGCACCTCTAAGCTGTTCCTGCTTTTCAATGGCCTATGTGCTTAATTTTGAGTTTTTCCACAT